AATATGTTTGATCAACATGCATACCAGCAAACTAAGCTGAAAATCAAGAAGGGTAAGTTTAAATTCTGCTCAAAGTGATCATCTGTGGCAGACAGTTTGCCCTAAAAGAGAAGGCAACATGCTTATTTTCTCCACTTACAATCAGTACTGGAACAATGACCGGTGTGGTAAACAAGACACTTCTCCCATTTCTTCTTGCCAAATTTCTTCTCAGAAAGAGAATACAAGCTTATTTGTGGACTGCTCTATTAGAAGATGTGCATCACCCTGGAAGTATCACATTATTTCATGCATGTTGGCCAGAGCTAAGAGTTTGACAGAAAGAAAGTACTTGAATGGCTCTGCACCGATCCCAGGATATCAGTGGCATTGTTTACTTCTGTAGCAGCTACTTGCAGTAAGACTAAGTTTAGACTACAGGTGGCAAGACCCACACTTACTAACAGACCAGCCAGTCTTGGTGGGGGACAGAACAGCCACAAACAGTATCTGGAAGAAAGAAATTTCATTTGCCATTAGATCAGGCAAAAAGAAAGAAGAGACACAAGATCTACTCCTGAGTCAGTCAATGTGATAAACGTGGAAGGAGGCAAGTGAAGGACACACCACCAACAGCAATTTGGGGCAAGACAGACTGCATCCCTTCCAAGAAGTTAATGTATTTTCATTTAGCCAGAAAATGGATGAGAAGCAAGCAGTGTCCCAAAAAAATTATGCAGAAGTGCAGGCATCGAAATAAGTTTTCCTATATAAAGCAGAAGAATGGTCCAACCACAGCCTCCAGAAGCTGACCATAAGCCTAACAGCCAGTCACCTAACTCTACTTTTAAAAATGTGTCTAGACATTTTTTTATCTCACTTCTGTGTTACACCACACCAATATACTGCTCTCAGTTCAAGGCCAAAGATAAGTTGGGGCCTGCGATACCTTTGGATAGAAGGAAAGGAAGTTTAAGGACTCAGAACTTCAGCCTGTTTCCTCAAAGAAAAAAAAAGCTTTCAATATCTGCAAGGGTTTTCAAACTTCTAAGACTCCAGTTACAGTGAGAATGAGACAAAGCTGTTTCCAAAACAGCTTTGTCATCAGAAAAGCAGTAAAACTTAATCCAAAATAATCCTTGACTACTTCTCAGCATTGAAAACACTACAGGGCCAACCAATTATGGGAAAAACATTGTGTTGCCAACCAATAAAAACTATGAAATAGAACACAGAATTGGGAAAACAAGTCTGTGGCTTCAAGTCTACTTTTTTTTTTGATTTGTTTTAGATGTGTTCTCCCTTCTCAAGATGAGTTATTTTTCAATTCTTCCCACCCTTTAATTCATTACTGTTCACCACATGCCCACGTAAAAAAGAAAAGAGGTGAATGAAATCCAAAAGCCTCTTCCCACTCATTGTATCCAAAAGTGTCCGGAGGGACCAGAAAGAGTGATGAAGATATTACCACCTCTGGAGTACAAGTAGCACCAATTAACACATTTACACAATAGGAGGATTTTCTTACAAGGGCTTTCTCAAATTTCTCTTTCTGAACAATACCATTCAAATTCTAAGTTGTAGTGAAGAGAACATGCAAAATACCCCAACGAGTGTTCCCAACCAGAAGGGGAAAGAATTCCCATTATACTGATGCCTTATTATATATTTTTTTTTAATTTGGCCTAGAGCATTAGCCTTATTTTTTCATTCCATGACCGTCATGGATTTGCCCCTATTGCTATTTCAAAGTTTATCGACACGTAAGCAATAATCACGGCAAGATGTAATTCACACTTTTTATATTGCTTTTAGGTCCGAATTAGTCAACAGATGCTCCTCTGGGCAAGAACTTCTTTATTTGCTACCTGCCACACTACAAAGTGATGTGGCTGCTAGTAAGCAGGTTTCTAGCTGTAAAGCACATGCTCATGTCACCATATATTCTAGTTCCCAGATTAAAATAATCCCTAACAGGCCTCCTTAGAAGAACAAATAACGAAAGCAGAATTTCAGAGAACAAGATAGGATGAGTGTGAAGGAATCACGCATTTAATGATCCCAGGAAAAAGACTTTCTAGAAGAGGTGCAAAACCAGGTGGCAGAGTACAGAGGAAGCAGATACCTAAGGCTGAAAAATCATCCCAATTAAACACAGATACATTTATGGAGAAAGGAAACACGTTATGTTAACAAATTGCTGTTCTCAGCCCTTTGCCCTTACTGTTACTGCAACAGAAGGTAGCAGATCCATACCAATCCAGTCTGCTGAGCTACACTCTTTCAGTACCCATTACATTTTGGTACTGAATAAAGAAAGGCAAATATGTAACAAATTTGCTTAGAGAGTTTCACTTTTAAAATATATACTGTAACTGATTATTGCTTCTTTGTCTCCCCAAATACCTTAGGGCTCCAGTTTACATCAATAATAGCTTGAAACAATTCCTTTCCTTTAATTATTGCAGTAGGCAACAATAAAAAGAAGCTGAAGAGAGTCAACTTTGCTCTAACACAGACATAAGACATACAAACATTGTACAAAGAAGATTATCCAAGAAAAGTTGAAGTCTTAGTTAAAAAAAACAAATGCGGTTAGCACCAGCGATTTAATTCAATACTGTCAAAGGATCATTCATATTCAGGAATAACTTCTTCCATCATACTTGTCTACCAAGATATTAGGCTTTAAAAAAAAGTCACAGGAGTATTATGCACAGATTTGCTCCTTGTCATTGCATAGTCAGGAAGTTCTGACATTTAAGATTATTTGAGAGTAAAGCTGTCTGTATTTGTAATTTGAAATGAGAAAGTACATCCTGACTGTTTAAATTATTCTCAGACAAGTTGCCCAAAAAGATGATTTTAAAGATGCCCAAATGTGTATCAGCCTAAGGCCATATTGTACCTGCTTTCAGTTTCAAAGACCTCCTTTCATCTCTGAAGAATGGAATGTTGTTTACTGCTCAGGATGTTTTGCCATGTTATCATGAATGTATTACAAATGTTCTTGCTCCTTGAACTAGAGGGTGTTTGTCAAAACCATTCTTTATTCTACATGAGAAGTCTTAAGCCTTTTATAAATCCTGCTCAGATATATTGGGACACTTAAACATCTATGTCTAAACATCCTTCTCAAGTTTGCTATCCTGCATAATTTCACAAAAAAGAAAAAAGGTCCACAGAGAATTGCTTTCTGGTAGCATGAAGTCTAAGTACTAGGCACTGGAATGTGAGATTGCATGCAAGAAACAGAAGTAGTTTCATTGGCAGAATTACTTTCACCTACTGCCCTTACAACTCAGTCTAGTAAGGCAGCCTATATGAGAAGCATCTTAAAATACAGCAAGTAAATTTGTGACAATGAAATGCTATCAAGGTTTATGGTCAGTTTTAGGCATGTTATGTCCACTGGCAATTAAACTGGCAATGTAAATTTTCAACAACTCTTATCTGTCTCACTTTCGCACAGTCTCATGAAGCTTTTAATAAAGCAGACACACCACAGACGATGAGAAATAACTGAAAAGTACCTAACAGGCAGACTTGTTAAATATTCAGAAACAAATCCGACAATAATTACAGAAAACCACTACGAAGAACAGGAATAGTTACTCAATAGAAGCTTGGGGGAAGACGAGAAAAGGATGGGGAAAACTGTTCTTGTGCTAGACACATTTTTTTCAAGTTTTTCCAGTGGTATTATAAAAAAAAATAACTATACCTTCAGCTCCATGTGAAAGTACATTCAAAAACTTCAAAGAAATGAAGAATAGCTGCTCAAAAGCTGGGAATGCTTTCTGCAACTTGTTTAGATACAGATTTCTTCAGTTCACTTGCAGTAAACAGGGAGTGGTGTTCAAGGAGCTAATTGTGTCTCCACATCAGAAAAAAAAAAAAAAAAAAAAAAAAAAAAATCAGAGAAACAAGTCTACCTCACCTCCTTACAGAGGTCTCTCATCACAGTCCAGGCCAAGGGAAAACCTACAGGACAGATGCCACCACTGTCTCAATTACACTGCAAATAACTGAGCTTTATATAAGGTCCTTCCAGACTCCAGTATGCAAAAGCACCAGATAATTTTCAACCCTAGTATCTATTTAAGTCTCCTAGGCCACAAGAATGAAAAAGACTTAAGGCTTATCAGGAAGGACAACTTCACCACCACTTCTTCTGCACAACAGTTACTCTCCAGGCTTCTGTTCACTGTGCTTGGTCACAAGCCAACCAGATGTTCACTTGAGCAGTGCTGAGGCTTCATGAGAAAAAGGGGCAAAACTGTCAACAATACTTGAATGACAGCCCACCACTCATTTCTCCTGTCTTCAAGCAAGATGATCACTAATAGGCTGTCAGCCTCCTTGGAAAGAAGTTCTGCAGCCCCATAAACTTCCCAGGACCCAGAATCAGTTAATCTCCAGCACAACATTAAGAGATTTGTTCAGACCAAGATTTCTTAAAAGCATCTTCAAGGCACCTTTCAAATGCAGCACGAGCCAGAAAGGTGATCTGGCTCATTGCAGAAATAGAATGGTCTAGCTTTGGTTATTTATTTATTTTTTTATTGCTTTTTGGGAGGATCCAAGGCAAATTCACAGTATATTTGAAAAGAGTCCCTATGCAATGTGCATGGAAAGAAGTCCACAGCCACATATCAAAGCGAGAGTCATTTCAAAAGCCATCCAAAATGGCCATTACAGCTTCAACTGAGGAGCCATGACAACTAGCTGCTGTGGAAGACCACCACAGCTTCATTACCCTCCACTGCAGATCGAAGTTTCTCTGAGCCATAATTTCATTCAGAGCTTTACACACAGTGCTCTTATCCACAGTTCATCCTGTAATACGCAATTAAACATTCCCCATCAAACTTACCAGAAATAATCCTTTCAATCATCTAACATCCAGACCAGTTTACCTGAAGTATATAACCAGCCACTGCATGTGAGAGAATTCTCACTTCTTCCTGAAGTATGAAATAATTCAGTATGAAGATACAACATGCAAGTTATTTCTGTACCTCCAACCCAGATCCAACGTTGGATGAATCCAATGGTCTTTTCTTCCTTGGTCCAATGGCTGCCAAAGCTGTGAGGTTGGCCTCTCTCTGTTGCATTTGTGCTAACTCCAACTGTTGCATCTAATTTAAAAAGAAAACACCTATGTTAATTATGATATACAGTATCCTAAAGGTCTTGTTCTCTTTATGGCAGCTTCAGACAGCTCTGTAGTCCCTACTAAAACAATGTATTTCAAAGCATCTTTTCCTTTTTGGACGCTTTTGACAGATTACAATACTCAGTCACGCTTAGAGCCTTGAAACGCTAACAGCCCTACAGATAGCACTGTGTAAGTAACACGTTTCATTGTGGTATCAACGCAGCCTTAACAGGAACCTCACTGCTGGTTCCTCAGCTCATAAGCTCTACCATTTCTGATTGACAGAAAATATTGATTGGAAGTGGCTTACGAGACCAGATTAGTATTAATAGTTGAGAGCTGCCGAGTTCTGGGAACTGGGTATATTGTTAATTCAAAATCTCAATTCATGACTGGCACAAGGAAGACACTCAATTTCTTCATGCTGTACTACCTGAACCCAGCACGCAATACTGCAATTCTGAAATACCTTATTATCCAACTGAACAGGATGCTGTCAGTTCACTGATACTCCCTCTTTTCCCAGTACATCTTTGAACGTTCAGGCATATCTGAAGCAAGTTAAAGATACGCTACATATATTTATTTTTGCTCACCTCCAGAAACCGTTCAACACAAGAAAATCCTTAGAAACAACTTCTACCTGGGATAGGTAAAATTGGAATAGGAAAGAAACCCACATTCAAGAGAATTTAAAAAATAAAAATAAGAATTTTACCTCTGTATTTTGAGGTACATACTACTTCATTCTATTCAGTAACTATATGTGCCAGCTGCTCTAGAGCTCAACTAAGTCACGTCTGCTAACAGACTAACTAGCTTGGATTGGCCACCTCACCAGTGCAGCCACTCTGCCTTCAGATCCGCCAGCTGTCCAGCTTGGAGCAAGAGTGGAGGGGAGTGCTTGCTCTCTGTAGAGAAGGAAGCTCTTCTATTTTCTCAAGTTGAGTTTGACCTTAAACACAAACCTTCGGGTTTGATGTTAACCCTTAGATGATCTGACACACAACTAGAACAGCTCCTTAGCCCATGCTCTTCTCCCCCATCCCCAGGACTTACAAAATTGTTTGGATGGCAATTCTCTGCATGCATCTGTGTGCATATCTTTAAAGAAAGTACAGCCATATCATGGTAGGAAAGTATCCAATTCTCCTCTCTTACTCTCCTCCCCCTTTCAATGATAAAAACAATTAATTTATTGGAATTCCTCATCCAGTCAGTACAGATATTTTGCTTACTAAGCTTGCAACACCCTATGGTTCTGCTTGCCTTTCAGCTCTCACAAATCCCACTTGGAGACGAGAAATTCAGCGGGTAAGAACTGAGCTTGTAGCACCTACATGGCATTACTCCCCCACTTGCTACTACTTAAATAAAGATGAATCCACAATAAAGAAATAGTGTGGGGTTTTTTTGGGGGGTGTGTGTGTATCTGTTGTTTTGGGGAAGATGGCTGTCTGGTTAGGTGGGTTTTGGGTGGGTTTTTTTGCAAGTCTTATTTGATTTCACATGGCAGCTTCACATAGAATACTGCAGCAGTTGACTATTTAAAGAAAAATGGTATTTCAGTGCAAGATTCCTAAAAGGACATCCTCCCCTGTAAGACTCTATACACACGCTCAAGATTTTTCAGCAGAAATCAGCGAATACAAGACTTTGACACATACATGTTGAGAACAGCTAATCTGGGGGGTTTAGTGGGGTTTTGGGTTTTTTTTTGAAGAGGAAACAAGTGCTTCAGTTACAAAACCAACACTATTTGCAAGTCATCTTTGAATCACACTATGTAGGCATAAGATTACAGAAATGTAGTAGTGCTTCTTCAGTGCTAGATACTATCATTCACTTACTACACACACTACTCTTGCTTTTGTGTGCAGTGTAAACACAACCTTTTTTATTAGAATCTATTCATTCTGAATGGGGTCTTGTTTGTTTTTTCAAAGTATGCAGTATTGCTTTCACAAATATTTTAGAGACTGTAAGGTTTTATGTCCCTTGAACTTGAAAACTACTTGTGTTCTGCAATTGTCCAAGGTTACCACCAGTCAGCCTACTTGCATAACACGTTTAAGAAAAACTTCCCCTTAATTTCAGTCTTAAATATGTATATTTATATTCAGGAACACATTGCAACCAATCAGGGATGGGGGAAAATAAGACTAAATCTGAAAAAGTAACACAAAACTTCACAAACTCTGTGAAACACTGAGGCTTAGAAACTATTTTTATGTGATATCTTCATCACTCCCTGGATTAATTGGGAGCAATAAAATGCTGAGCTTCTCTGGCAGAAGCACATGCTGACTACCAGCTCTGGCTGCCCAGGCCTCCAACACCTGGAGACACCCCCGGAGCTACCCCCACCTTCCAGGCAGCTAGATAGCATCCCTGCAGAAGCATACCTTCCTGCTAGCAGTGCTGTTCAGTTGTCACAGTGGTTGCATGTACACCACAGCCTTCTTGCCATGAGAAGGGGCATCACAACACTCCATGCACTGGCATCCCTCTGGGGGCTGATTAAATGCCAAAAGGCTCCAGTGGCAAAGAAAACCAGAAGAGAAAAGACCTCCCTCAATGCTACAAAACACAGGTAAAGAAGCTTCACTGCAGTTAGACACGTTAAAAACAGGTGGCTGCTAAACATTTGGTCACTGGCTTGAAGCAGCATCAAAATAAGACCCTCTCTCCTTTTTACACCTGATGTTAATGGGCAGCCATGGTAAAGACCAAAGACAAGAGGCAGAGCTGTGAATTAAATACCAAGGGAGTTTTGGGTGGGCATCAGCAGAGGGTGGAGGGGACTGAGTGCCTCTTGGTGGGGTACAACTGCAGCTCTGGCTGAGGACTGGGCAGTGCCTGGGCACCATCACCACTTACCCCACGCAATTCAAGCTGACAAAGAGTGCCATCGACATAGATGCCCTGCAAAAGCAAGCACTGCTGCTGGAGGGCAGTGCTGGCAGAAAATCTACTCATATAAACGACGGGAAAACACTTGGACGGTATGAAAAAGATGCACTTTCTAGAAACAGAACTGGTGCATCTTTGACCACACATTTCCCAAGACAATGCTGGAAGCACATGCCATTACCGTCATCTATTCTCCCCAGTACATTTTCTACCTTGTAACCAGTCAAAGGAATTTTCAAATCAGGAAGAATCTCACCAGGGTTTTGGAGCAAAAGAAAAAAAAGAAATCATAGTCTTGTTGCATTCTAGACATCTTGGGAATTTTTCTGAGAACATAATTAAGACAAATGAATTTAAACATTCAATCTCCGTAATGGACTCAACAGATCCCCATTAAGACATATGGGCAGGCATCCAAATCACCCTGCTGAAGCCAGCAAAATCATCTTTTCATCAAGTTTTGTTCCATTAAAAAGTGTCAGATTAAATGTCCAAACATTGTGTGAGCAGTTAAAAGCACAGGATAAAGAGACGACAGGCAGATAACATCAAGGGATACCCGAGGACACTGGCTGGCTAACTACTGCCAGATTTTCCTAAACAAGATTAGGAAAGAGCAAGAGGCAACTATGTTGAGTTCTTTAACAGACAGTTTTGTAGAACACAAGTTAGGGCAGAAAGATCACTGCAGCAAGTGAAAGACAATAAAAGTTGTATAGACACTGTATTAAAATATAACATAGAGAAGCTGCATCTAGTATTGTTGCGCTTCTATGGGCCAGTTTGACTAATATTAGTGTCTCTGATTAAAATTGGAAACGAATAGGAACTGTCATACCCAGGTTTGTATCTTGAAAACAGATTCACTTTTTCTCTTGAAAACAGAAGTGTGTAATGACAGTTCAGGAGGAGCAGGGGGAACCTGCACCATACATTGGTCCCACAAACTAGCAGATTTCCTCTCAACCCAACCTACTTCATCTGCTGAAAGATGCTGCTGCTGTTCCACCACGACACACAGGAGTCCAACACATGTTCTGTTCAAAATTCATTCCTCAAGAACGGCATTGAGAAGGGACAGTCTCCAGGCAAGAAACAAATGAATGTTCATGCTCCTTTTCCCCTCTTTCTGATTTTTACATACACTAAGAATCACAGTACAAAGAGTTCTAAAAACCAGTGTATAAAGATCAAATTGCTATGAAAACGTCTCAGAACTTGTAAAATAGTCTTTGTTGCTGCTGGCCTTTTTAATAATAAAAATAGGGTTTAAAGTCTGGTCTTGCAGCAAGCAGAAATCTCTAGGGTGACACAATAACCATTTTAGTTAATCTGACCTGCAGCACAAATCAAGAAGTAAGGTATGTTTTAAAGTCCTCCCTTATAGTGAAATGGCATTTGCAGCATGGCTGTAATCACACAAAATGAAAGGTTTTAAAATTGACCTCTCTGTTCTTTACTCAATCCTCTACTGAGAAAAATATTTCTTTTCCTGCTCACAGAAATTCTCTCTCACATCTCACACTCTACATTTCAAAGAATACGTAAAATCTATTTTTACTACTACACCAATGACATATTTGTGGCATTTTAATATTAAAAATTAAATTTCAAGTTGCATAAGAAGACAAGTACTTCAGCTATGAGATGCCAAGATTTTTCTTTTAAAGCAATACTGCAAGTTGGTTTTAAATGCTTTCAGTTATGAAGTACACGATATGTGGTTGTTAGCATTATCAGAGCTCCAAGAATTCAAGTTATGCAAATCTCACAAGATTTTCCCTGAACGCTGCAAGGAAGAATCCCTTAAACACAACCGAAGAAAGGAAAAGGTATACTCTACTACAAACAAAGTCAGCTAATTCACATCAGCTAATCCATGATGTGTACAGCAGCAGGTGGCTGTATTATCAAAGCAGGGAAACAGAAGAGCTACCTAGCTGAACACACATTCACCTTCAAATAGGAGTTACACAAACCCTCATGTCTGGTCACAAAGTACCCAAAATGGAGCAGGGTATTTGGTATAAGCTTTCATAGAAGACAAAGCACATGAAATCTTTACTG